AAATGTAGCAGCTGTGTAAGGAGGCCGCTAGATGACTCTAGAAGTTCCATGGCAGGTGGCCTTGTGCCGGGTGGTAAGGAATAAGTAGCAGACCCCTTCTCCTTCCCTCTTCTTCCTCCTCTCCCTTCATCTTCCTTTTTATGCTCTACTTTGTAATATTCATTGGTATTTGCTTTTAGAGAATATATTCAGAGAGACAGTGATACCGAAACTGGATGTCCAGTCTTTTTTTTTTTTTTTTTTTTTTTTTTTTTGGTTTTTCGAGATGGGGTTTCTTTTGTGTAGCTTTGCACCTTTTCTGGAACTCACTCTGTAGTCCAGGCTGGCCTCGAACTCACAGAGATCCGCCTGCCTCTGCCTCCCAAGTGCTGGGATTAAAGGCGTGCGCCACCACCGCCTGGCTGGATGTCCAGTCTTGATTCCAATTGAATATGGGACAAAACCACCCTTTACTGTTCATTTTCTTTCACTGAGTTATGATATTTCATCTCTATCATTATGTCCCAGAATTTCTATGAGCATTTGCTACTATGTGGATACTTTGTGTGGTGGTAGTCTTTTCTTGGGGTCTGGATACAATGAGGCCATTTCATGTCCACTCCCAGCTCTAACACAGGGTTCCAGTGAGTTCCAAGCTGTGTGTCTCATCTGGAAGTCCCCAGGGCCCTGATCTGCTGCTGCATGTCTGTGCCTCATCAGCATATTTACATTGTGTTTGGGCTAGAGAACCATAAAAAGCATCATACTTTGTGGTTCAGAAAGGTCATTTTGCTGGTCAGGTTTTTCTTCTGGCTCCATTATATTGTGTAACTCAGAAAATTCCCCATGAGCTCCAACTTTAACCAAAATAGAGAGCATGTGAGAGCCCTGAGTACTGACCATCCTTGTGGTCACCTTGGCTCTCATTTAGAAAAAAGATGGGCAGAAACAGGTGATCTGAGGTGTCTCTGGCAGGGAATTTTTCTTCCCTGTCCAGCAGTTTCTGAAACTGCATGGTCCCAGATACTTTGAGCACTCATTACATTCTGACAAGTCACTTGGAGGAAGTTAGCACCATTGTCAGCCAGCTCAGGAGGTCAGGCATCTCTCTTTGTGACCTGCTTCCACCCCTGTATGGGAGGACTGCTGTAGTCAGCCTGTTAATTACCTTGCCTGATGAGCATGTAAACAGGAGATTTCCTTGTTAGAAAATAACAATACACTGGTTCTCCAGCCTGTTACATCTTGATACGTGCTTGGGATTCTTTGGTTTGAGCTCTTGAGTACCACATTGACGCATGGACCTCAAGTTTTCTTCCTGTATTAAATGGAAAAAAATACTTCCTTTTACAGAAAGGATATTTTGTAATTGGGGCTAGAGAGATGTCTCAGTTGTTGAGAGTACTTGCTGGTCTTCCAGAAGCCTGGGCTTTGGTTCCCAGCACCCACATGGCAGCTTACAACCATCTGTAACTCCAGTTCCAGGGTATCCAATGCCCTCTTCTGGCCTCCTTAGGTATCAGATATCCATGTGGTGCACATATAGATAAAACACTCATATATATGAGAATTAAAAAGCCGGGCGGTGGTGGCACATGCCTTTAATCCCAGCACTTGGGAGGCAGAGACAGGCAGATCTCTGTGAGTTTGAGGCCAGCCTGGTCTACAGAGCGAGTTCCAGGACAGGCTCCAAAGCTATACAGAGAGACCCTGTCTTGAAAAAACAAACATACAAAACCAAAGAACAACAACAAAAAAAGTCCTATAAATCAGTGGGTCTGAAAAAGAAAAATAGTATTAAGTAGTTGATTTTGGTTTCTGACTTTGCCTGCGTTGAACTGATGAGTCTTTCCAGGGAGAAATCAGGAGCCCGTGGTTGATGAAGGGGTGAGGTCCGATGGAAGCTCCATAATTGTATGGCAGTGTGTATTGTTAAAGGCATGCTGGAACAGCCACCTCGTGAATGGGCGCCATGCAAAGCAGTTTGATACCAGCAAGTTTATTGGCTCCAGGTAGCTGAGTAAGGCACCCAGAGGTTAAATGGTTTGCCGCAGGCCACCCAGCAAGTGTGTGGTTGAGCCAGATTTAGAACACTGTTCTAATTAGCTCTTGACTTCCAGCTTTGTGCTCAGGCTTACCACTCTGTCCCCACACGTTGGAGTTCACTTGTCAGAGGAAGGAACACTTCATATGTTGACCTGTCTGCATATGTTACTGTTATTATTATTATTAGTTAATTCACAACCAAATGAGGCAACCTAGAAGACAGTGAAGTATACTCAGACAGTAGAGTACAAGGAAAGATAAAATTCCAAAAAAAAAGTAACTGTAGAAAAGGGATTCCCCAAAAGATGATGATGTAGTGATGGTACGGGAGGGTAAAGGTGCTGCGCTGGCCATCAAGTTCCTCGGAGCTTACAGTGGAATTTGAGAGATCATCTGGTCACTGTAGCACAAGGAAACCAAGGGTGTGGTGAGAGCCTGCGTCTATGTGAAGAGTTCTCAGCTTTGGCAGAAGTGGGGAGGAGTGAAATGGTAGGCAGTGTGGGTGAGGTGGGGATGTTCAACATGGATCTGTGTGTGTGTGTGTGTGTGTGTGTGTGTGTGTGTGTGTGTGTGTGTGTGTGAGAGAGAGAGAGAGAGAGAGAGAGAGAGAGAGTGTTAGTTTAATGTGCTTGAGCCAAAGGAACATAAGTCCCTGGGTTCCTAGAGCTTGTTTTAGTGGGGAGAAGAAACCCTAGCATTAAATCAGTAAGGAAATGATAATATTAAAATACGGCACATGCTTAAAGAGAAGGGTGATAAGGTTTATGCAGACGTGTAGGCCCTGGTGATGGTACGTTCTTCTGACAGGACATGAGAAAAGTGACTCTTCGGTTTGGTGTTCTTCTTCCTCAGGACATACAGCTCTAGTCTAACCCTGAAGAAAACATCAAAGCAAACACATAGAAAGCCCACATAAAGGAGCTGGTAGATGGCTCAGTCGGCAAAGCACATGCTGTGCAAGACGTGGACCTGAGTTGGGATCCCTGGCATCTACTGGCATGATTTAAAGAGTGCACTTTCATCGTTTGTAAAGCTCTACATTTGTTCCTTAGTAAAACACACACACACACACACACACACACACACACACACACACACACACACACACACACACATACTCATGCATGCATGCCACCTCCACTGGGTTTGAAATGGTAGGTAAGAAAAAGAATACTGGTAATCTTAGGAGATTAATTTAATGATCTATATGATGATATTTCTTCTATAAAATGGGAGTCTTGTACTTTATGTTGATTTAATATATTAATTTTTCTTAGTCTCTGGTATGCAAGATGAAATTGGAAAAAATCCCATTTCACATTTCAGAATTACTAAAACTCATTGCATAATTCAAGAGTTCAAGAGACTGAAGCTTAACTGGAGACTCAGAAAGGACAAACAAATCCAAACCCTCTTTGCATCTGGAAACATTGGGGAAATTGTATGACGTTCTAACACAATAAATACTAAAACACAGAGCAGAGACAAGTCCATAGTCACCACCTCTGTATAAGGGAACTGACCACAGTTGCCATGGTCTTTATATGGCGTTGATGTATCTGAAGGAAAGACTTGGGTCCGGGGATAGGGTTCAGTTGGTAGAGTGCTTGCCTGGCACGCTTTAACCCCGTGTTTGACCTCCAGCATCCCCTGAAATCAAATGTGGTAGGGAACACCTAAAGCCCCAGAGCTTGGGAGCTGGAGGCTGGGGAATCAGGAGTCAGGATCACTTCCAGTTTTGAGGTGGAGTTGAGGTCAGCGTGGTAAGTAAACAGATAAAGTTTGTATATACGAGTTTAATTTACGTATATTAAGCAATATAGTTTGGTGCTGCTGATTTAAATAGACTTGTTTAATGACCTAAGAGCTAACAATTAATTGATTAGTCATAGCTTTTGGAAAAAAACCATGTCTCTCTAACTTTTCAGCAATGTATAATGGTATTAATTGATAGTTTTACCTACTTATAAGCAGTAAAGAAAAAATATGTTGCCTAATTTTATCTGTTCCTTTGGTAAAGATGTATAGGTGTATGTATGTGACTTCTGGGCACTTGAATTGCAGCCAGTGTGCCCGAGGAAATGAGATTTACTGAACTTAAATAGCTATATATAGTCTTTGTCTACTCTATTGGATTGTATCATAATTAAGGTCTATTCTAATTATACCCAACCTTGGAAGTCCAGCACTTCTCCTGTATCATTCTTTCTTCTCAGGTCAAGCTATGAGATTTGGTACCTCAGGTCCCAAGAGATGAAATGATGAACTAAAGCCTGCCATGTGGGCCATAATTTTGCCATAGGCTTGCTCAGCTTCCAACTCTGTCATGGACTCATAAACCCTTGACCTTTAATCTCAGGCTAGACCTGTACTCTGAGGCCAATCTGGAAGCCAGGGAGTTTGGCACTTGAAACCTTTTTCCAGGAAAACTGGAGAATTCTGAGAACCAGAGTCATCCATCATTGGGCTTTATAACCCAAGGAAGCACAAGCATAGTGATTTTAACATTCCGGTTTGGTCAAAGGACAGCCTCCCACCCACTTCTCCTGTACCTTCTTACCCAACAGACCATGAGTGATTTTCGGTGTTGTGAAAGCATTTGTGACTTTTAGACTGATTGCAATACAGCCCAGCCACAGAATCCCTCGTGTCTCTTGCTTACTATTTTTGGTCAACAGATCAGAGGTTTTGCGAGGGCAGTCTCTTTACAACTGCTCTCAAAGACCTCTCTGTGTGAATAAAAGTGGTTGGCCTTGTTTCCCACTATCAAGGAGCTCTACCCTGCCCTGCTTAAGTTCCCATACAAAGTAAGGAGTTGTGTGTGTTCCTGACAAAGAAAGTTTGTATGTTGTCGTACCCCTGTGTGCATGGCTGACATAGAAGAGGTATAGAAATGGGGAAGTGATCAGACAGACTTGTGTACTTCAGAATACAGTGAACTGTGTGCCAATGTTATCTTGTTTGTTTTCGTCCAGGAAATCCAGGATTGGTGCGGCATTGCTCTGACAAATGCTGCCCTGCTGTCTTCACAGAGGTCTCCAAGAGTAAGCTCCCCATGTGTCTGTGCCTGGCCTCCTCTGGGCAGCCAGATGAAGGGTACTTCCACTGGTTCCCACGGCTGCACTGCTGAACCACTGCTCTGTGTTGGCTGAGTGTTCGTGACAGCCTCTCCTGAAGTAGTTTAGGAGGCTTAGACCGCTTGAACCCTGTGTCATGGAAGCTTTGGAAGTGGATGACATCAGCCCTGCCTTAGAGGTGACTGAGGACTTCTTTAGCACTTTTGATAGTAAGCTGGAAAAGGCCGTGCAGCAAACAGAGGTGTACGGGATCCAGGAAGTCCCTGAGCTGGTGGGGCACGAGGTACTCAGTAACATAACAGACAATGGTGCTTTGAGAAGTGTCGCCTCCCTGGGCAAGGGGACCATGATTTGGGACCACTGTAAGAGCAGGCTCCTAGAAACCAAAGCTCAAAATGTCTTCCCTGCCAAAGAACAGCTTCTGGTCCAGAGAGGGACAGCCCCAGATAACCTCTCCTGGATGGAGCAAAAGGAAGCGTCAACCTTCAACTTTTTCAACATCTGTCAGCGTCGGAGGGACAGACCTCGCTCTGTGAATGACTTATTGGATGAGACCACCACTTTCAAGCCAGGACATGCCCGGTCCAGGTCCGACATCACCCACGTAGACTGGCGGCTGCTCCTCAGCACCATGCCTTCTCAGCAGCAGCAGCAGCAGCAGCTAGCCCTTCAAGGCCCTCACTTTGCCAGGCCATCTTTCCTGTTGCCTTCGCCCAGTAAGGTTGAAGACGCCCAAGGAAATACAGGTATGTTCATAGCCGATTTAGTGAACAGCTGTTCACGTCTCCTTTGTCTCCCTTACATCTGCGGACTCTCCAGTATCCACACCTGCCTTCTCTCTGTCCCAAGCTTCGTTCTTTGCTTCAAATCAGCTATCTTTTTATCTTCTGAAGAGGTACTTAGGGAAATTATGACTCTGGTTAAGTCTCTCTTCCTAATCGTCTGCGTTAGAATATTCTTACATCACATGTATATTTTCCTCTGAACACTCTGTGGTACTGCTCATTCATATCAGATGTTTATTGGGTCACACTCTGGACTTTCTTAACCTTACTCCCTGGTGGGTTTAAGATGTGTGGAGACACTCTGTCCTACAAAACTTTTCATCAGTGAAGATTCAGGAAATTACCCAGAATGCGAGACAGTAGATGGCCACTGAAATGTGTGTGTGTCAGTGATGCTAAGAGGACAGAAGAAGCGGAGGGCACCGTGAGCTGGGCTGCTCCAAAAGAGCTTGCAGGGGACGTGAAATGAAGGACATGGAATTCAGAAACAGTTATGGAAGATGGCAGTCAGAATCGTAGTCTGAGCACAGGTGAGGAAGGGCAGAGTGTAGCCCAATTGTACAGCAAGGCCGTGGGTTCAATACCCAGCCCCGTAGGCTGGGGGGAAAGGAAATGAAATGCAGTGGAGAGGAAGCAGACCTTGTGGGTAGAGGAAAGAGCCAGTGACTGTCAGAAAGATGATTAAAGTCTCGTGGTACAGGGCCTTTCATTTCCCCCCAGTCAATACACAGCCGTGTGCATCTATCTGTGTCAGACTTACATGCTCACACACGAACTCTCCTGTGTGACATGAAGAGCCATCTTTCCATTTACCACAGCATTTTCCTTCAAGATTAAAAAAAAAAAACAAACTTTATGGCTACTGATTTTTATTACTGATGATTCTTAATTACTCTACTCAACTCTTAAATATAAATGGCTTCTCCTCAACTCACTGGTGTATATGTGTGTGTGTGTCTGTCTGTCTGTCTCTCTCCCTCTGTGTGGTGTGTTCATGCTTTACAGTACTCTGAACTGAACCTGGGACTTTGAATATTTAGGCAAGTGCTCTGCTACTGGCTTCCTTCCCTCTCCTCCAGCTCCCAGTTGGTTCTCTGTGTATGTACATGTATTTGTATATTTGTTGTTGTTTGTTGTGTTTATTAGAAGGGCCAGGAATTGAATCTTGGATTTCTAGGTAAACACTCTACCATGGAGCTGCCTCTCAGCCTTTATTGTCTTTTATGCTCCACTGCTAATTAAAAAAAGATAAATTTTATGTGCATGAGTGTTTTGCCTGCATGTATGAGTACTGTGTAGGTGCAGTGCCCCAAAATGGTCAGAGAGGGTTGATCCCCAGCAGCTGGAGTACAGATAGTTGTGAGCCACCATGTGGGTGCTGGGAACTGAAACCCAGGTCCTCTGGAAGAGCAACAAGGTTTCTGAACTACTGAGGCATCTCTCCAGTCCCTTTACTGCTGTTTTTAAGTTAGCTTCTACACCTACCATTGCTCGGTAGTCAACTGATACATTTAACAATTTAGTAAGTAAGGTTAATTTGTAAATGTAATCTGAGCCAAGCTATCATTTGGAACACAGAGAAGGAAATACAGGGTTTCTGTCCATGACACACATTTCCACATACAGTACAAAGTCTCCCTTCAAGACCCTTTTCTTCTCTGTCAGATTCGCAGCTTGCCATCCCTCATCTTTCCTTCTGGGGCAGTGGTTCTCAACCTTCCTAATGTAGTTCCTCATGTTGTGGTGACCCTCAACCATAGAATTATTTCGTTGCTACTTCATCGCTGTACTTTTGCTCCTGTGATGAATTGTGTAAGTATCTGAGATGTAAGTCCCAGTAGGTGGAGAACCCACAGGTGGAGAGCCACCCTTCTAGACTCAAATCTTCAAGAACAGCTGGCAGGATTACGACTCTAGGACCAGGAGGAAAGGGACATCAAAAGCAAGCATTTGGTGACTGATTGAGAGACTGAGGAGACAAGACATCGCTGGAACTCCTGAGCCTGGAGGACCTGATAGCTTTGTGTTTGATCTGTTATGTTTATGTAGTAGGGAAGCTCTTCCACTAGCAAATGACCTCAGTAGATTCTCTGTTAGAATTCACATGGAATTCTGTCATTGTCACAGTAACTATTTGTAGGTTCTCAAGCAGGACCTGGATGAAGAGGTTACTCTATTTCCAACTTTATTTTTCCAGTTTGTTCTGATTATAAATACAAGAATTGGCTATCCTTGGCATCTCTCATGCCCTAGTCTTTCCCCTTGAGTATCTGACAAACCATGATGGTTACTCTTTTTTATTTTGCTTATTTTTTTTCAAGACAGGGTTTCTTTGTGTAACCCTGGCTATCCTGGAACTCTCTCTGTAGATCAAACTAGCCTTGAACTTGGAGAGATCTGCCTGAGTGTTGGGTTTAAAGGTGTGTACCACCATTCCTGGCTTGTGATTGTTATTCTTTAGTTCTTGAGTTTTAAAATTCTGAGTACTAATTTATCGTGAAATATAGGTAGTGATTTTGAAAAGGAAATTATAACACATGGACTTTGCAGGTTTAGAATAACACTTACCCACTGCTTGGTCATTGCAACAGGAATAGAAAAAATTGGGCAAAAGACATGACCGGCTTCTCGAATCTTTTCTTTCTGACAGGCTCTGGGAAACAGGCAAGATGTGTCATGTTTTTATTGCCTGTCAGGTAAGGAGCAGGGGCCAGCAGGGGCCTCCAGCAGTTAGGCTGAGAGTGGAAAAGCATTCTAGATTTGTGACTGATCACCCATTCGGAGGAGTACACAGTTCTCATCTTGGTGTATGCGGAGAGCTGATGTGAATTGACCCCGTGGATTTGGAGGCACAGAAATCGGCCAGTCTTCTGGGGTCAGGGCTGTCCCACAGGGTGAGTTCCCAGTGACAGAGCCACCCAGGGCACAGCAGTCACTGGGAAGGCAGTGATGTATGAGCTGACCTTTGGGGCCTTATCACATTTTTTGACTGTCTTATTTTAGAAGCTTGTGAATGCATTCTGGAGACTGCATTGCCTCAGACATAGCTAGACCAGGGCTGACTCTTTCCAAAGGAATGTTGGCTGAACTAATGGAGAGAGGGTGCTTCAGGGGGTCCAGCCATGGGATATGGCTTGAATCCAGTCTCGTTATTTTTTATTTATTTTTGGTTTTTTGAGACAGAGTTTCTCTGTGTAGCTTTGCGCCTTTCCTGGAACTCACTCTGTAGCCCAAGCTGGCCTTGAACTCACAGAGATCTGCCTGCCTCTGCCTCCTGAGTGCTGGGATTAAGGTGTGCGCCACCACCTCCCAGCCAGTCTCATTATTGCGGCGTGCATTATCTGAAAATGACTGGCTAAGAAAGGGGTGAGGTCATAAAACGATAAAAAGGAACGGACCTAGAGCAAAGTGGCAGCCGTTATTATAAAGGATTTCCAAGTCTGTGGCGGAGCCCAAAGCTTCCTTAGCCCAGCATCTTTCCATCCGAGTGCCCGAGTACCCAGGCAGCTGTACCACTCCGAGGACTTTGACTCCACTGTAAAAATGTGGTTTCCAGCCCTAGCACTAATTTTAGTTGTATAAAGACATGCTTTTAGGTCCCTGTCCAGTCCTAAAGGGTTGCCAGTCCCTAGGATCTGCAGAGTAAATGTCCAGTGGTGAAGTGTCTTTATTTTGTTAGAGTCTCTGAGCCTAATTGTGTTTCCTTGTGTCTGTATAATCAGATAGCAATAAAGAAGTTTGTGTCACACACACACACAAAAAGACATGCTCTTAAGGAATATAGATGAGTGTCTGTCCTTAATGGTTTTCCACTCTTCGTCACTGTCTTGATATTCACTGAGGAACAGTCCACTCGTAGGCATGGAGGAATTCCTCAGAGCATAAAGAAGGTAGAGTCCTGCCATCTCAGAATGAAGTCCAACTATACACACCTTAAGTCCAATGAACATATGGCTTTTAGATGTTTTTATATTGAATAATCGATTGTATGCACACACACACACACACACACACACACACACACACACACACACACACACACACGTACACAAGCGAAGACACATGGTAGATGAAGACGAGACGGTCTAGAAGGAATATTCAACCAAGACTCAGGAGTCTCATCCCAACTCTACTCCTGACTCACTGTCTCTTTATCAGCCTACTGAGACAGATTAAATTATCTCTGCAGTCCTTCCTAGCCCCCAAACTGCATCATTCTAGGATGTGTTTAAACAGATTCTGACTCATGGTTGTGTGGGAATTAATTGCTATATTCAGATCAACAATTAAAGATCATGAGTGAAACAAAAGTGTGGTTAGACTTTCCTAACAGGTGAGAGATTTCTCTGTGACTTGTAAGTCTACTGCTGCATGAAGTGCAGTGGTAACTTTTCAAATGAAAAAAAAAAAAAAATTAAAGGACTCTTTTGTATTCGCTGTAGAGCCCTGAAACTCACCAAACTCCCAGAACGGAACTCACTTTTCCTCCCTGGCTGTGCTCACGTTTTCATCTGCTCGGCGAGGGCAGTGGTCAGCTGAGCTTTTGTTTCCGTAGGTGCCGCGCTCTGGTGACCCGGGCCGCTCCTAGGCGTCTGTTTTCTTGTTCTGAGTTCTTGAGGAGAAGGTCTCAAGCAGGGATGTTCTTTATGGCTAGACAGACCGCCGCAGTCCAGTCCTTCATCCTGGGCTTTATGTGACTGCCTCAGTTCTCTCTTCCCCATCTTTCACGGAAAAAAAAGACAAATTTGGGACTTGTACTAAAATGACTGCTTTTTCAATTATGCTGTTTCTCAAAAGCCCCGGAGCCGAGAGAGATGGAAATATTCATGCAGGCTTAGAATAGGTGAGGTCACCAGGACACGGTCTCTTGCTGAATTTGTGATTCACCCTCCGACAGATGAGTCAGTACAAAGAAGTTGCTAAAATAGGTCACAGGAAGTTGATTGTGTATGGCCATACGG